GAAACGGTATATTTTTGGCTTTTAGTAAAATCAATTTTCATTACGGGTATAGGGAAGATACAGGGAAGGAATACAGCCAATAAAAGGAAGTGTAGGAGCACAACAGTATAAAAAAACACAGAGGGACATTGTGTGTGTTTCTGTGCGTGAGGTTGTGTGAAACTAAAAGATCTAAGCTGCTATATATACAGCCAGACTAGAGGCAGGGTTAAAACACTTAACCCTGTTAAGCACAATCCAGAAGCCATCAACTGACAAATTTTGGAGCACTGTGTCACAAAATCTGGTAACTTATAAGTATTTCTTTTTATAAAAGCAAGAGGAAATAAAAAGCATATTAAAATAAACATGCTTTAATAATTATCTTTATTTTGCTTATTTTTAATACAATTGTAAACCAGACTCATTTTGCAGGTGTCAGCATTGCTTCTATAATTGATTTATTGAGAACTACTTCTTGCACTGAAAATGTGACGCCCCATCTCATTGTACATTGTATATGTGTAAATGAATAATAAATAAGGAATTCTTATGTGCCTAATTTTAGATTTGTTTAGCAAGATGTTTTCATTTTTTGCTTTCTAAGTTCATCAGTACATTGTATTTATCTCCTAATTGGTTGGATGTGGACAACAAAATATTGGCTTGTAAAATAGTCTCTAGATTAGAATGTGAAAACTTGCATAGAATAATGTTCTTGATGTTCCTGAACTATTGTGGCCCAGGAGGATCCGGTTGAGCTGCTGTTGGACTCGGATAGTGAGGAACCATATGAGTCTGGGAAGATGTGGAGGACCCTGGGCAGGGTTCAGACTCAGAGCAGGGACCAGAGAGGCTGGTTGGCCACCAGGAGGCACCTAAGGCATGGAGCAGTGGGGAGGATCAAAGGCAGTTTGTTCCTGACACCAGACAAAGAAGGGCGGAGAAACGGAAGCAACAGCTGCAGAGGCAGACTCAGAGACGATAATTAAGTCCAGATGGTTGTGGCTTGGCCCCTCCCAAGAGAGAATATAAGTAAAGAAGAGGGGAGGGGTGATTTGCAAGACACAACTGTTTGAAACAGTATTGGAATATTCTGTCTGTCATGTATCTGTGCCTGTTGGATTTTCAGTCTTGCATGTGAGTCGTGTCTGGGCCTTCAGCCAAAGGAGTTGATAAAGCCGTGATTAAAGAGTGGCAAACAGCCAAGCCTGTGTCTGGGTGATTTGCAGGTTGGGGGTGGGTGGGTCAGAACACTGAACTATAATTCCTGGCAATCTTTATCATCGCTTATGCTGGATAATACAGTTAAAATGAATCTAGCAATATTTGGAAGGACACATAATGCTCACACATGTAATGATAGTATTTATCAGACTGAATTAGGTGTTTTTTCTGAATATGCAAATCATCTTCTCTTCCTTCTCCTCTTTACTGATTATGTTGATTCATTAGTTGTGAAAGAAATTGGCTTTTGACTGAGTCTAACATTAGAGAGAATGACTGGCCTAAGGCAAGACTAAAATTGAGTCTCCTGAAGAGGTGGTATTCAGCAGATCCTGACCAGATCTGGAGAACCGGTAGCGGAAATTTTGAATAGTTCAGAGAACCGATAAATGCCACCTCTGACTAGCTCCGCCCCCATCTATTCTCTGCCTCCCGAGTCCCAGCTGATCTGGAGGAAATGGAGATTTTTAACCTTCCCCTGGAATGAGGTGGGAATAGAGATTTTACAGTATCCTTCCCCTGCCACGTCCACCAAACCATGCCATGCGATGCCCACCAAGCCACGCCCACAGAACCGGTAGTAAAAAATTTTGAATCCCATCACTGGTCCCTTGGTTTTCATCCTGGGGCCTTAACCACTAGATTAAGGCCACATGAGAAACTGGGATTGTTGTGGAGGGCTGAACCAATAACTCCTGGCTACACTCTCCCTGTTCACTAACAAGGTTGTGCTTAGAATGAAGTGGTGGTAGGTGATCGAGCCTGGATCCCTTCACACAATGACTCTTCCTGCTGCCTCCTCCCCATGCTCCTCCAGGTGAGGAGTGAACATTGCAGAAAGCAGAAAGGTGCTTTCTCTCCTGGCCCTCCTGTGGCTGCCAGCTGACTGAAGGAGTGCACGGTGATTGCACAGAGCCAGACCCAACTTGACTTCTAACCTAAAACTATGGAAAAATTTCCTGACAATTCAAATAATGAATCAGTGGAACAACTTGCCTCCAGAAGTTGTGAATGCTCCAACAGTTGAAGTTTTTAAGACGAGAATGGACAACTATTTGCCTAAAACGGTATAGGGTTTCCTGCCTGAGCAGGTGGTTGGACTAGAAGACCTCTAAGGTCCCTTTTAACTTTGTTATTCTGTTATTCTTCTCTTGTCTCCTGCAGTACACATTCATTTATATTTTATTCGTAATTTCCGCATGACCTCATGCAGGTCTGACAGGGACAGCCAACGGGCCAGATGTGGCCCAGGGGTTGTAAAATATCTAGTTCTGCACTAGACCAAACAGGTCTCCAAATATGTAAATATTCAAACTGCATAAATATCAGCTACAACTGAGAAAGTCACAGTTCTTACAGAAGTACTAATTTATTTTCTTTTGAATTGTGTATACTTTTCTCTGGATTTTATGTTGGATACTAATTTCATTCATTATTCTTTGCTATTTGCTATTTCTTTAAAACATTATTAAACTCTTTACAAAAAGCCCCAATATCTACAAAATACCTTTGAGTTCTAATCCCACGTTAGGAGAAAGTAGAGCCAGCTGGGTGATCTACAATTTTAGAGGCAGAACTATGTTTAAATTATACAAAAAAACAATGTTTGTAAAGCAAATATGTCTTGCTGAGCCTGCTATAATAAACTAAATTATATATTTAATAATATATTTTGAGAAATATTAGTCTAAAAAGCCATAACTTGTTTTATTATATGGAAGATATTATATGGAATGATTTAAAAATCATTATGCTCACCTTTCATTGTATAACTTTGCCTGGACTTTCCTTTCTGTACAAAAACCAAAGTGGAGAATATAAAAAAATTACAATACAAAAATAAATCTCAGTTCACATGACAAAAACCAAAAGCCAAGTAATAAATGACAATATTTCACCAGCAGCAGAACAACTACAACTAATCCAGAAATATTTTATTTCCAAAATTTTATTTATCCCTAATGTTTTGAAAACACCTACTTTTGCTCTAATTAATGCTCATTAATCCTGGGTTTTCTCACAATAATTTTGCATCCTGAATTGGTATTTAGCCAGTTCTGACAGGTTCTGGAGAACTGGTAGTAGAAATTTTGAGTCGTTTGGAGAACTGGCAAATAGGCTGGCCCCACCCCCGCTGTCTCCCAGCTGATCTTCTTTTCTTGCCCTGAACAGGAGAATGGAGCTGGAAAGCAGGTTAGTGGGCTGGGGAGGGAATGAGGATTTTGCAGTAACCTTTCCCCAGGAATGGAGAGGTAATGGGGATTTTGAAAAAATATTTTGAATACATGAAAATTAATTGTTTATATACCACTTCCTTGATTGACTTAAGGTACCTCATAGCTCAATACATACAATGCCATACTATTATGGGATATGCCTCATGCATCAATTAACAGTAAATCAACATGAGAACTTGGATAACTACCACTACTCCCAAATTATTTGACAACTTATGCCTTAGGGGTCATATGAAAAAGATCTGCTTAGCAGACTTTTCGAGTGAAAGAAACGTACTATCGTAGAGGAAGCAAGTTCTTCCATTGATAGGACCATGGTTGAGAAGGTCTGCCTTTGGGCTTTTATACTTTTACCAACTTGAGTGTTCTTGATTAAGCCATACAGGACAGATAAATTCTATGTATGGCTTTCAGTGAAACTGGCACTCAGCCGTATTAGACTTTGAGTAATAAATGTAGATGAGAAATAAGCTCTTGAATAATCCAGCTATAAAAAACTCTTACCTGCCAGAAAACGAACAGCCATACTTTGAACCTGCTGTATACCAAACCTCTGAGTAGCCTTGAAGGGTATCCCTGTGTATGATATCTATCAGTCCCAAAGGTGCTTTTTCAAGAGGCAACTGGGCTTTCTGGTTTTCCTTTGAAAACGTTCACTTCTCATCCAACAAGATTCTTCAGTTCTGACTGGATGGTGGAGAATGGAATGATTTAAACTCGTTGCAGTCAGCTGGCCCAGAGGTGGTATTCAGCGGTTCTGATTAGTGCTGGAGAACTAGTAGCAGAAATTTTGAGTAGTTTGAGTAGTTTGAGTAGTTCAAAGAACCAGTAAATACCACCTCTGACTGGCCCTGCCCCCATCTATTTTCTGCCTCCGAGTCCCAGCTGATCGGGAGGGAATGGAGATTTTCCTTCCCCTGGAGTGGGATGGGAATGGAGATTTTACAGTATCCTTCCCCTGGAGTGGGATGGGAATGGAGATTTTNTTAATGTATCTTAAATAGAAAACAATCTTTGGATAGATTTTTACTCCAAAAGCAATTTATTAAAATAAATTTAAAATCTGATTTAAATTAAAAAATCTGATTTAAACTAAAAAAAAAATCTGTTTTTTTTTTAAATAATAAAAAATCATTGATTTTTATCCACCCTGGTAATAAAATGTTGCTTCTACTCCATTCTGAAAATGAAACTGATTCTCCTATGCTACTAACTGAACTTTCAACAATATAAAACAAAGAAAAATGTGTAAAAGAAGTAAGGCTGTGTCTTGCACAATTCATGTTATCATAAAGAATTGTCATGATATGCTGTCAGTCTGTCTGTTGTACAAGATTCTGAAGTCTATCCATGCCAGAGAGACCAAGTCCATTATATTGGGAGGTACAATACCACAAAGGAGTATTCACCAGCAGACAAAGCTCAAGCAGTCTCTCTCCCTCTCCCTCCCTCTCTCTCCCCACCTCCTCTCTTCCTCTCTCACCCTTTCTCTCTGTGTTTAAAGGGGAATCCATCGTGATACATTTATGCGATATTCCTTGTGTATCTTTCCAACAGAGGCCTGAGGATGATGTGGTTGTTGATTTGGGAAGCACCAGCAACGCTATTAACATTCATTATGAACCAGAGGAGTTGGAAGGTAAGACAATTATTTTCTAGTGTTTTTATTTTTTCCTCCATTTTTCTGTTGCAGACCCCAAGTTGGAATTTCTGCCCCCCTCTGACCCGCACAAAAAGACCCCAAAGGGGGAGACTCTGCAGCAACACAAGAGTTCATTGCACTTATCCGGGACTGTAGTTTGAGGACCCCTGATTTAGTGCAATATAAAAAATGCACAATTTTCTGCGGACCACCAAAATGTTCTCGCAGACCACCAGTTGGTGACCGCTGTACTAGACAATTCAGATCAAGGGTTTTTCATCTCTAGTTCATAATGGGGTTCCACTCTCCCAGATGCAACAGTTTGGGAGACTTCCAGGACCCTCTTAAAGAGCAAATTGCATCTGTAGCCACCAAGGCCTTTGTACAGATTCTTAATTGCACCTGTATGTGGAACGGGAGGGCTCTTCTCATGGTCACTTGTTTACCTCAGGTATAGAATACTGTTCTTTGCTTTATATCGTTTGCTATTGAAGGTTATTTAGAAGCTACAACTGGTAATATCAGCAATTTTTAGTATGATCCTGTACTGGGGTTAATATGCAGTTTATTCAAAATGATATTTGGGGAAAACTGAATTTTAAGTATATAGCAGTTACTATTCTATTAATAGCATACAGCAGCAGAAGTATGTTTTCTACTGATTTAAGAAAAATGGATGGAAAGCATGCAGTGGAAGAGTCACTGAAACAAATCAGACTTAAACTGAGTCATACTGTTGCAGGGGTCAGCAACCCACGGCTCTGGAGCTGCATGTGGCTCTTTCATCCCTCTGCTGCGGCTCCCTATCTCCGGTTGGCTCCACAATTGATAGGGCTTTCAGTTAGGACAGGTAGACGAAAAAGGATGCCGCACTAGGAGGAGACTCTATGTTGGGTGAACCGGACTGCCAGCCGGCTCCAGAATTGAACGAGGGGCTTCCGGTTAAGACCTTTGTGGCTCTTTGCATGTTTAAGGTTGCCGACCTCTGTACTATTGAATCAAATAGGTAACTTCTTCTGACTCTATACATATTTATGAAGGTCCATGAAGTGGACTGAATGCCACTAAAAGCATACAAAGAAGGCGGGGGGGGGGGGATAAAGATACATTCATTTTAAAGATGTTCTCTAACACAAACGTCGTTTCTTCAGTCTGTAGCTATAACTTTTGAATTCTGCAGATGAGATTCTTGCATACCAGTAGTGATTTGATCAGAAGGCTGGTTATATTCACTCCACTGGGGGTTGATTCTGATTGGGGAAAAACACCCCTATTTAATAAAACATTCTTGCTATGAGTTTCAGAGTGGTAGAATAGTGAACTTATGTTTATGTACCTTGCTTAAGAACATGCTTGTCAGTGTTTTAATTTACCGGTTTTCTTTATGGATTTACAAATGACATGTATATTGCCTGCTTCAAGTCTTTATCACATCCCCAAAAGCAAGCAGGTTGTCAATTCCAATAAATAATTCCTTTTATGCCAAAAGAAGCGCCACTCTTGAGAGTCAGTACAAAGGGGGAATAAATAATTATTTCTGCAGCTTATACTTTATTCTCTTTATACTTGTTCCGCATCCTGCCTGGCACAATGTGTTTAAATTAGTAATAAAGAGTGGAGCCACAAAATGTCACAAAACCTTTCCTCTCTTGTGAATTCAGGCATGTGTTTTCATTGCTAGGGTTCAGGCAGTGGAATAATAGTGGAAGAAAGAGAGCTCATATCCATGAACTTAGCTCATCCCTAAAAATGTACAGCATGAATTCTGTGAAATAGGTTTTACAAAGTCAAAAGAGTATTGCTTTGCAGTAGATTTGCATATACTTTGCTTTTTTATATTTGCTAGAAAGTTAAATTCTGGAAATATATATATATATAACAGTAGTTGAAAAAGATAATTCATACATGCTAACAGAGCCTTCCCCCCTTTTTTTGCTAGCTACCTCAAACTGCAAAAGCAAGGGAATTGTCAAAATACCCAAGAGGTTATTATGTGTTAAACAGTTAAAACAACTGTGTTTAACTTGGTGACTTATAATGTAGGTGAAAATAGATCTCTAAAAAGGGGTTATTCAAAAAATTGTGATCCCCTTTCCTGTTTATGAATTGTGATATTAATCTATGCAGATAAGTGATTTTTTAAAATAATCAATATGCACCAATCATAACTTTCATTCAGAGCTGGGTTGGCGAGCCCGGATTCGGCGAACCGGTAGGGGCAGCGGCAGGAGGCTCCACCCATTCGCATAGAAGTGTTGCGCGAGCACAAGCAAACCAATAGTAAAACAAATAGCAACCCATCACTGCTTTCATTGTCTTTTCTTCCAGTCCAATTCTCCTGAGTGTATAGGCCTTTTTAAGAGAAATTTTCTTTCTCCTAGTGTGGTGCGCAGGCAATCACAAAAGAGACTCCTATTCTCTCATTTCCTATATTAGTATGATTCCCCCTGAGCCTGCAACATGTTTACACCATTAACATCAGAGAATTCTCACCAGGAGCAAATGTGAAACTCTTGGTAGCGTAATCATCCTGGCTAAACTCGTGCCTGAGCAGAGACAGAGAGGGAATGCTTACGATTTTTCTGTCAATGGAGAATGTCAAATGGTATGAACAAAATGTATAGAAAGGCAAGTCTGAAAGATGCAGCAATCACATGAGCAGTTCATCTCATAGTCATCTAAAAATTGATGTGCTATATGGGAACTATAATTCATAGTAATTATTAATGTACTGCTCACATGGTAATGCTGGATTTCCCTCTTTTTGTGCTAATTTTGATTGTAAGGCTTCGGCTGCTATTTCAAATTCAGAAACTAACAAGCTTGCTGTACTGACTTAGTTTGTACCTCACACAATATAAATCATTCATCATTTCAAGATTTAGCAGATGAGAGACAAATCAGAAGGCAGACAGACAAAAAATCATAGGAAATTCAATTGAACACTAACAGGAGCCAATCACTGGGCTTACTTTGAAGTTGTGATGGAGGCCAGAAATATTCTCTTCCACCATTTATCCTCTCACTGCCAATTATTGGAAGTCTTTCCAGGTAATTGTGGTGCTATCCAGTCCAGTTAGATCATACAGAATCTTTGGTAGCTTTCTGTGTGATTTATTGGCATGACGCTTTGAAGACAAAACAGGTCAAATATGGCAAAATCAGCTACAGTTTCAGCATTAATTCATAGCTCTGGATGAATTAATACCTGATCGTATTAGTCTATGTAGTTTCTATCGTTCTATACCATTTCCATAGAAGTCAAATTAGTAGCTTAGAGCACTTCTAACCCATCTTTGACATGAGGGGCCCAAGTGGTGGTAGCTTTTAAAAAAAAATGAAATACCTTCCATTACCTTAGGCTTTACTGGGATAGAGATAGCTGCATTACAAGAATCCATCCCTTCAAAATGTCTTGTTTAGATTACTGTAATGAACTATATACTTGGGGCTGCCCTTGACGATGATTCAGAAATATCAATTGTACTACAAAATATTGCAGCAAGATTTGAACTGTGAAACAGGTTCATCACAGAAGTTCTTTATTCTTTTTATTGGCTTGCAGATCAATTCCAGTACCAATTATAGGTTCTGGTTTTAATCTATATAGCTCTTCATCATTTGGGACGCAGTATCTTCTTTTTACACTTCTTTTTATATGTTCCTACTCTTCCCCTAAGGACATCTATGGAAAGCCTGTACTCTGGGTGCACGCTCTCTCTCTCATGCTGAGGTGTAACAACTGGCTAAGGACTGGTGTTTTCAGTCTTCACCATTTTTATTGCCTTTTCTTCCTCTGGCAAAGTCATTTTTATTTACCAAGCTTTTAGGAACAGGATAATGTTACTGCGGGTTTTAATTGCTTTAGCACTAATTTTACAAGTGATATATTTTTGTCACTTGTTTTATCCTTTTAAAATTCTTTTTGATTGTAATTTTAAAGTATAAATTACATTGGGATTTCTCTTAAAGAAGGAAAGCAAATAAATAAATAAAAATAATAAATAAATAAATAAATGCATACTTGTTCTCTTAATGTAATTAGCAAACTTCATTGTTGTTCATTTTGAGTCAAGGCTGCTTCTGACTGCAGGATGCATCTCCCCCCCCCCAAAAAAAAATATTAGAAGTTTTAATCACATTCTGTTAATGGTTTGGTTCTTCAGTTCATTCTGGATGGAAGCATCCTGTACCTCATATTTAGATGATATATTAGCTTTCAGGAAATCATGGGTAGGTATTTCATTAGCTGTATTACATAAGAAGGACCAGAAATTATTAATAGCTGTAACAAATCTTATGAATTACAGTAGTATGTACAAAAGCTGGCGTAGTTTGCTTAGAGTGTAATGACAGCTTGAAATATAGATAGTCCTTGTTTGATGAATGCCTTGTTTAGTGACCATTTGTAGTTATGATATTTTTTTACAACAAATCCTTATTTTATTTATTTATTTAAAGCAGTTGTATAGCTATAGTTGTATAGCTTTCTGCTTAGCAACAGAAATTTTGGACTCAATTGTGGTTGTACGTCAAGGACTACCTGTATATATTGGACTGATATCAGGTTTTCAATTTCAATTACATAGCATATGAAGGATGTGTGTTTGTGTTTTTATTTTTATAGTTATAATGTACACTGAAGACAGCATTTAATTTCGTTGTATGATGTGCAATGACAATAAGGTAGAAGTAGAAGTAGAAGTAAAAGAAGTAGAAGTAGAAGTAAAAAAAGTAAAAGTAAAAGTAAACGTAAACGTAAGTAAAAGTAAACTCATGTTCCAAGGTCTACATTCAACATAATGGTGAAGTGTGGCTTTAACAAGGAAGATGACCTTTTCTGTATTTCTGATGGTTTGCTGGTGTAATTTCAACAAAGTCAAAGCCATAAATACCTGACAATTTGCTTTTGTTCCAGGGCACAGGACATTATATGTTGGGGTGCGGATGCCTTTGGCTAAACAAGGCCACAGACAACACAGAACCAAACACAGGAAACGAGCTCGGATAAAGGAAAGTATATTGGAGGAGCATGAAACTTACGGTAAGTGTGTGTTGATAATAGAACACAATGGGGGAGTGAGCCATATAGTCTCCTATTTGCCATACTATTGTCGTGTATAAGTTCTTTAGGATCTTATGGAGGCATTCAGAATATGGCTGAGAACTTTTAATGCTTAATCTTTGAAAGATTTGGAGATGGACAGGACCTATTGTCTCTGAAATAGTAGGATCACCCTAGAGTCACCCAAACACACAAGCATTTGCAGGCCATTATTCTGATTCAGAAACTAAAATATACAATTGGTGGCAGCTCACCCTCTGCTTGAACACCTATCCTAATGGAGAAGCCTGAACTTCCAGTCAATCAGTTCCATTATGGAACTGCTCTTAGAGCAGCACACTTCATGCTCAAATAAAAATTGCCTCTTGCAGCTGAATTTTATATAATCCTTTCCTGGTAGCAAAGGATGTGTTTGCATGCTAGCCTTTCAGGTACATTGGAAAGTATTGTTATGTCTCCCCTTGCCCATTAGAGTTATGTGTATTGTAACTGTCTCCCATATGATGGATCATCTGAATTTGCCCTTTTCCCAACTAAGATACATTTCTTCTTAAGTGTCTGAGCCAAAAGTGTTTTCCAATCTTCAGAGGTTCTGAAGGATTGCTTAGTATGGAATAAAGTGGGAAAGTTCCTTGCCATACTTGGCGCTATGATTTCCTTTTTGCAGCTTCATTAGCCATTTTTACCTTCCAGGCCTAACGCACTTACTCATGTTCAGCTCATGAACGAGCATGATCCTAAACATTTTTTAGATATACCATTGTGTATGTGTGATCATTAATGTAGGGCAGGGGTTTTGGCCTAAACTACAGAAGTGAACTACTGACAACCAAACTGTTGCCCAAACTAACTTTTGGTGGTCTTGGATTGCTCTCTAATCAGCATTAAGCCTTTAAACCTGACATTGTTTCCCACAATTTGATGTAGTTAATTATAGTCGTCGTCATCATCATCATCATCATCATCATCATCATCATCATCATCATCATCATCATCATCATCATTTAACAATTCCATGATCCCTTGCGGGGTGGAGTCTGGGCAACTGAATAGAGCTAGCTGAGCATTTAATGGCTGGATGCCCTTCCTGTCACCAGTGCGGAGCTTTGTTCAGCAGATATATTCTCATTGCCTCCAGAGAGAAAAATATCTGTCTCTACCTAAGATTGAACGCACAGCTTCCTGATTGCGAGGCAAGAGCTCCATCTCTAGGCCACTGCACCACTCTGATGTAGTTAATTATAGTGTAACTCCTAAAATAGATACCATTCTAAGTATTTTTTAAAAAGTTGTAAAACTCGCCACAAAAAGAAGGAAATGGGAAGCCCCACCTGTATTCATGTGTGATGTAATCCCATACACTTTGCATCCTTACACCAGTACAGTAAAAGTACATTACATGTGATGCTTAGCCAGGTAGAGACTCTCCACCTAGTTACTTAGATCACAACTCATAGGGTGCCATCCAGGACTGAACATTTAGATATCAGTCAGACAGCTGACTGAATGCAGCTAAGACATTCGATAACATGTTGCCGGAATAAGGAATCTAAAAGGGAACTGAAAGATTAGAGTGGCACATCACAAATGAAAGATACTTAGCAGAAACAAACAAAATGGCAATATAATCTAAAGTGCAGGAGGAGGAGGGCATCTTTGCTCATAGGTTAATTATTGACTGATCTTTTCTAAGCTCGGGACTAAGTAGAATTGGTTTGTTTAGAAACCTCCAGGAAATAGAAGGCTGTAAACTACACAAAGAAAAGAAATCCCAGAAGAAGGAGGATTTATTATTCTACCTCTATATAGTTACCAAAAAATCTATATGGGTGGGTCTATGAACTTGAATTTCATTTAAAGGTGACTTTACTTTTGTGTAACTTGTTTTTTTTTAAATGAACTTTTGGTTCTGCAGATTCTATTTACTTCTTCACTAATAGAAAAATTACTAATAATGACTTTCATTCACCAAAGAATAGAACAACAGAAACAACGAACTAAAAGAATCACATCTTTGACTGATATTTTTTGAGAACTGATGACTTTGCAAGATCTTTTCTGGAATTTGCCCCTTTTATCTGTTAGATTTCTCTCTGTATGCAGGTAGTGCTCAACTTATGACCACAATGGAGCCCAACATTTCTGTTACTAAGCAAGGCAGTTATTGAGTTGTGCTCCATTTTACGACCTTTTTTGCCACAATTATATTAAGTGAATAATTGCAGTTGTTAAGTGAATCATTCAGCTGTAAAGTAAATCTGGCTTCACCCACTGACTTGGTTTGTCAAGCCAGCTGGGAAGTAACAAATCATCTCAGAAGGTGATCACATGACCTCAGGACACATCATAAATACATGCCAGTTGACAAGTGCCCAAATATTGATCACATAACTGTGGGGATGCTGCAACAGATATAATTGTGAAATCTGCAGAACGACTGCAGGAATTGGGTATGGCCAGTCTAGAGAAAAGAAGGACTAGAAGCAGTGGTGAAATTCAATTTTTTTTACTACCAGTTCTGTGGGCGTGGCTTGGTGAGCGTGGCAGGGGAAGGATACTGCAAAATCTCAATTCCCATCCCACTCTGAGGCCAGCCAGAGGTGCCATTTGCCAGTTCTCCGAGCTACTCAAAATTTCTGCTACCAGTTCTCCAGAACCTGCTGGATTTCATCCCTGACTAGAGGTGACATGATAACAGCATTCCAGTATTTGAAGGGCTGCTACAAGAAAGAAAACTTATTTTCCAAAGCACCAGACGGCAAGACAAGAAACAATGGATGGAAACTAATCAAGGAGAGAAGCAACCTGGAATTAAAGAGAAAGATCCTAACAGTGAGAACAAACAACCTGTGGAACAGCTTGCCTTCAAAAGTTGTAGGTGTATTCATCACTGGACATTTTAAAGAAAAGACTGGACAGCCACCTATCTGAAATGGTANGGAGTGGGATGGGAATGGAGATTTTACAGTATCATTCCTCTGGGAATGGAGATTTTGCAGTATCCTTCCCCTGGAGTGGGATGGGAATGGAGATTTTACAGTATCATTCCTCTGGAGTGGGGTGGGAATGGGAATTTTGCAGTATCCTTCCCCTGCTACGCCCAAGCCATGCCCACCTAGCCACACCCACCAAACAAAGCCCAAAGCACCAGTAGTAAAAAAAATTGAATCCCACCACTGAGCTGGTTATTTGCATTCTTTTAGCGAGCCATTAAGGTCAGCTGGAGTTGAGTACAATTCTTAGAGTGTAATGGTGGTGGTTATGGCTCCTTATTAATGCTAGAAGTATCTGTATCACAGAGAAAAAATGCAGCTTTCTTACCAAGTAGAAAATGCGAGGAACCCCATTGTATTTTATACCAGTATTCCCTTTGAAGAAAATAATGGGGAGTGTTTTTCTCTCTCTAGGAATGTATGTAGTGGGGTGGGATGGAAGGATAGGTGTCTTGACCAATCCATTTGGAACGTTTGTGTTGCTGTGTTCCATGCTGTCATAGTAATGATAGTCATGTGGCCCTAGGAAAGGGAGAAAATCCAGTCAAAGCAGTATCTTTATTATACAACTGTTTTCCCTCCCCCACCTAGCAATCTATAATTCAAATTGTCTAAAAGACATCCTGAAGAAATAAGTAAGTTCTGAAACTGGCTTCTGTTAGGGTCGAAATGCATGTAGCTGGTTGGGTGTGTGGAATGGACCCCAAGTATTTGCGTCTTGCATGAAGAGAGATCATAGCCTAGAGTCTAAATTTGGAGTCTAAATCATATTAGAAGAAAGTTAATTCCTCTTTCTTTGTGGTTTCACACCCGTGCTGAAGACAAAGGATGACATCATACAGGAATTTAATTTTACAGGTAAAGCAACTCATAGATAATGGATTAATCATCTTTGGAGACCATCTGTGTTAACGTTGGATATTTATTTTGATTAATGCTTTCCAGGTTACGTAAACTATTGAGCTCCAAGTAGAATCCAATTAATCCTTTTGGCCTATGGAGAGGCTTCTGTCAGAGAACAGAATAATTAGCAGTTCAGTGCTTTAATCAAATACCTTTTTTCCAAGGTCCTTATAAGTATTCTTGCTGTTAATTTGGTCAGTGGCAACATTTATTAATCACTTTTTAAGAGTAGGTTTGTTCTCAGTCATAAGATGAAGTTAATCTAAACTGCACTGAAATTGACATATTTCCAACCTGTTTGGTATACAAGAGACGTGACACAACACAGTACCATCCCTCTTTATCTCAGACTCACTAACTCATGTTTGTCTGTATATGACACTCTCCGCCTAAGCTTTTTGTGTATATGGAATAAAAGTGCCAGAGAAAATGCTAAATACTAATACTAAAAAAAATCACTATAGGTAGTTGAGTTGCAACCATAATGGAGGCTGCCCATTACTGTTGCAGGTTGTAACCGTCAATAAGCAAGGTGATGTGATCCCCTGTTTAATGAGCCCCCCCTCTCCCAAATGCGGTTGTTAAGCAATGTCACAGGTCATTAAGCATAGCACGGGGTGTCTTGCAATGGGAGGCCTAGCACAGGCAGAGGCTTGCCTGCTGGAGGCCTCTGCCACCTATTGAGGCACCCTGTGCCATGCTTCCTGCCCCTCAGGCCTTGGGGCTGCTTTCCCCACTCATCAGCCCCCCCCCCCTTCTGCCATCACCAATTGCTCACTTACCTTCTCTACATCTCTGGAGCTCCCACAACCACCCACACTCTCCTTCCCATGTACTTCTATGCTATATTATACTACTTCTACAACGAGTATACTATTTCTACTGTTACTGTGCTATAGTATCATCACCAATGTGTATTTTACAGTAGTTTACTATAATACTAAATTGTACTATAATACTAATACTAGCTAAATACTAACTAAACTAAATTTTTAATTTTTAAAATACTAACAGTATTTCAACGCTTTCAGCGCCTGATCTGTTTCCTCCCTGCCCTTTTAGGATCACTTCCATTGTTATTTT